GAGAATTGAATTTTTTTTTTTTTTTGGAATTTTTTTTTTGGAGTTGTTTTATCCCTGGCGCGATGGATGGAGAGGAGAGTGTCTTTTGGACAATTCTGTGCGACTGGAATTTTTATTAATCTTTATTCTTCTCGCATTCTTAAAATTTTCAGAGAATTTTTAAGAGATTATGCATATATTTTTTCTTTTTTTTTTTTGTGGAAAGATTGAATTATTTTACTTTGCTTTAAGCGAAAAGTGTCTTTCTAAAATTCTAGCGATTCGAAATTTTATCGCTGTCTTCTTACGCTTTCACAATTTTTAAAAAAAATTGTATTTGTCATTCGTTTCACGTCGTCGTCTCTCGCAAATTCTGTTCGAAATAAATTTGATCGGAGTCTCGGCTATATTTTATGTATTTTAAATATTTTCTTTTCTTTTTCATCCGAAACGTAAATTTTCTTTTTTAACGAGTCTAACGAGACATGTCTAACGGACCAAAGAAAAGTTTTTTAATAAAGTCTTAATGAATGTTACCGAGTTTCTTTTATAAAATGGACGTTAACCAGCGACGTTAAAATTTAGTTATCCAACGACTTGCAAAAAAAAAATTTTCAAAAAAGAAAATTAACACGGATAATTCAAAATTAGTACGAAGAAACACGGTATATGATGTAACTTTCAATATATCATAAAAGATAATAATCCATTTCGATTAAACGAATCCCTCTTGCAAGAAGAAAAGGAAAAGAAAGAAAGAGGAAGAATTAAAGGAAAAATTCCAAATACGGCAATAAGAAGAGAAGAATTTCAATCTCGGGAAGAGATTTTTCACTCCGTTCATTTATCACGGTTTACGCAAGAATTTCGCGTGACAAATGAATCGTGATTCCGTCAACGATACACGTGGAATGTTATAAAAAAGAAAAAAAAAGAAAGAAAGAAAAAGGAACGAGCTTGACGGAGGAAAAGCAGAAGGGAAGAGGCGAGGGAAATAAAGAAGGGAAAAATATGCAATGTCGCGAGGGAATTGGCGAAAAGAAGAACTCTGGAGGGCGGAATTTCGCCATTTGTCATTCGAAAGAAACGAGCAATGCATACTTGCCAACCTTTCCGCCGGATCTATACTCCCGGATGAATCGTACGGTCCCGAAAGGATTGCCACGTGTTCTGCCCTCTTCCCCTTCGTGGAGGGAAGTGGAGCTGTGAATAATCGTTGGTCCACGCGATTGTGACACACACACACACACACGTTCTCGTTTCCAACCTATTTCCCATTTCGATTGCGAGGCGTTGCGCGACCGTATAATTGAGGGGGGAGGGAGGTAAAATTGTCGTTCTGATTGATCGAAGCAGATTGTCGGGATTGATTAGGTCGATTGATGTATAGATAGATAGATTGGTGGATGGATCGTTGAGGAATTATTGAAAGGGCTGTTACGGGATTCGAAGTTTGGCGAGTAAATTTGGTGAGTAATCATGTGTCTTTGACGGGATTATGTGCGTGTATGTAAGGATCAAGATAGTAATATTGATACGGTTTCATTGATGATACAAGTTCGATTAGAATCTTTGATCTTTCAGTGATTTCTATTTCGTGATCTCGAGGATGATTCTAAAAATGTGTAGATCTTAAATGGTAATTATTCTCTGGCTACAATATATTTGAATTATTCTGTGATATGTTGTCTTTGTGAATCAAATCATGAATGTTTTATTGATACAGATTTGATCTTTCAATGATGTCTATTTCATGATCTCGAGGATGATTTTTTATTTTTGAATGATCTTGAATGGTAATCATTCTATGGTTACTATAAATTTGAAAATTATTCGATATGTTATGCTCTTTGTGAATCAAATCATGAATATTTTATTGATAGAAATTCGATTAGAACCTTTGATTTATCAATGATGTCGTGATCTCGATAATGATTCTTTGTCTTGAAAGATCTTGAATGGTAATCACTCTGTGGTTACTGTAAATTTGAAAATTATTCTAAGACACGTTATCTTTGTGGATCAAATCATGAATGTTGACATAGTTTCATTGATACAAGTTCGATTAAAATTTTTGATCTTTCAGTGATTTCTATTTTATGATCTGGATGATTCTTTGAGTAATCGTGAATGATAATTATTCTATGGCCAATGTAAATTTGAAATATATTCTATGATGTATTTTTATGGATCAAATTATGAATTGACATGATTTTCTAATAACGATAATACAACTTCAATAACTTCAATAATCTTTGATTATCTTCGAAAGATTAAGATTCTCTATCTTGATAATTATTCTTGGTCTTTGAAATTTGTAATAATATATCTCGAATAATACGTAACGATATGATTACATATGATCACTGTAAATCTCAAAATTACACCGAAGATCTATTACACCGAATATAACGATCTTTCATGTGATTTATGTGATTTTAATTTATGACGATCCTCCAAATAATCATAAATTCGGATAAATCAACTTTCCTCTTTTAATTATTTTAATTATTTTGATCGATAATATAATTTCAATTTTTTTGTATCAACGTTCAAATGACCGTGAACCGCGCTCCTACGATGTAATCGATTTCCATTTGCCCCTGTCATTGGATAACTTGTTCACAGGGATGTTTTGTCGGAAACTGGACTATTAGGTCGTCCACTGACAATTTTTTTCTCGTTTTTCTTTTTGCAATTGTTTCAATTCAAATAATTTCAAAAAAAAAGTGTCAGATACATAAATCGAACTCGCTTTTTGATTGCATTTCTTTGCGCGTTTGAAATTTTATTTTTTTAAAAACACCATAGATATATATCTTTATTAATTAAATAACCATTGTGATATTTCAAATTTAAATATAAATAATTTTACATTTGTGTATTTCTCCTATAAAGAACTATAAAGAAAAATGGAACGATCTGAATAATTCTGATATCACAGGATGTTCCCCTCGATCCATCTTTGAGAAGTAGGGCGTTCTATATACGAATTCAATCAGAAGCATTGAAATTCAGTCGTATAGAATACGCGAGAGAGTGATTAGATTCTACGCCCTCTTATTAATATCCAGTTTAAAATAACTATTTCGCGAATCGATTTTATTTATTATAATTGCGATTGAACCAAAGAGAACTGATAAATATATTTCTCTTTTCTTTTCTTTTTTTCCAGTGGAGAAGGGGGTCCTAGACCAAAGCAACGAGAACCAGCAGGTGATCGAGAGGTGTTACCCTCTTCCGCCCCAGAACACGTTGATGCTGTCGGAACTTCCGGAACCGCCGATTCCGCTCAGCGAGATCGGCCCGATCCCACCCCCTCCGATGTTCAGCTCCTCGAGTCCAACCCTCTTGTTGGCCAAGCAACGGCAAATAAGAAACCCTTTGTCGTCGGACTACGAGGACGAAGGTGCGTTAATTCGTTGACAACTTTTCGATCTTCTGCCTAATCTTCTCGAGTACAACATTTCGATAGAGAAATAATTCTTTGAACCGAATTAAATCTTGTTTTTTGCAATTCTGAAATCGACCCGAATCAGATCTAACTGTATACATACCGTGCGTGTAAAAGCAATACTCGGAGGATCGTCAAAATCGATCGATGTACCTATTTGTAGTTTCGAGAGTCGAAACTATGGGCAATTTGAAACGTTAATTTACGATGTCCATTCGAAGTTTGCTTATCTCTTTATAGTCGTGTATTTTTTTGAGACATCTCTTACTCGGCTACGATTATTTTCTTTTTATATCCTGTATATAGAGAATCTCGAGATCGTATATTTTTTTGAAAAATACATTTATTTTTCCGTCCTTTATTTTTTCTCTGCCCTCCATAAAAGACGAAGAGGAGATTTGGTCGATTCAAAATTTCTTCCCTTCTTTTTACGATCAATTATTATTGGTAAAATTATATTTTATTCTTTCTCTGACCGCAGAAGACGAAGAGGACTTCGACGTGGAGGAGGAGGACAACATGTACGTGCCGAGGATGTCGCAGCCTGATCCGACCATCGACACGTCCAGGGTGGAGGAGATCCCCGCGAAGGAGCCTAAGTTTCACGCGGTCCCTTTAAAGAGCGTTCTGAAGAAGAGGGGTTCCGGAAGTGGGCCTGGCACGCCCCAGAACACGCCCACGCAGGAGAACAGGCCGTTGACCCTTCGCCAGGAGCTGCACGCCTCCTTCAAGTTAGTTCGCGACCAAACAACCGATTTCCTCGACGAGCAACGACCAACTCTCTTTCGTGCATCGCATCTTTTCTTCTTCGAAAGACTCGATGGAGGGGGGGAAAGAAAAAAGAGAGAAAAAAAAAAAAGAAATCTTAATTTCAACCATCGAAAGGTTGTAAGAGAAAAAGGATTGTTGAAATTATTCGACGTCCACGAGTCTTTCTCTCGTTCGAGATTCGTCGCGAGGGAACGAGTCTTCTTCATAGAGGTTTGCAAGGCGTCGATAATAAAATGTCTTCCTTTCAATTGTGATATCTCGTTGGGGGCGGATACCTCGAATGGTATTCAAGACGGTCTCTTCGAGGGGATGAAAGGTTCGACTGGAATTGGAGGATTGTTAATTAGTAGGAGAGGTGGGTTCTAATGAAAAAGCGCCTTGAGACCGATGGAGAAAGCTCGTCTTGGAACATCGTTCTTCGCCTTCCGCCCTTGTCATCTCTCTCGCGCGCACGTGTTTCCCCGCATATTCTTCCTCCTCTTTCTCTCATCCTTTTTCATTCGTCGTCCACGATATCAAGATGGACGCACGTTTCCACGTTCCTCCTTTTAATTTATCAAATTATCACGTTTCTCGTAATTTCGATTCGATTTTTGGCGGTTCCTATACGATCTTTCGTTTTTCTTTCGTTCGTTCCTTTTTCGAGAAATTTAAATCTTTACGAAGAGAATGCTATTCTATAAAATTATTTAAAAGGAACAGATACTTTCTTAAATTGTTTATAGTTTGTATAGCTTTTTTTTCAAATTATGAATAAATTCAATATATTGTATTGTTTTGAAAGTAAGACGTAATAGGAAACTTATCTCGATGAATTTATTTAAATACTATTTAAATCAAAAAAAAAAAAAAAAAACTAAATTCAAAAGCAATCATTTCAATCCTAACGTGAAACAAAATTACGTTTCCTATATTATTTCCAAATTAAGACAATCAAAATAATTTATTATCTGAAACATTTGATCTCTAAAAATCTCCAATTTATATTCTTATAGTGTATCGATAAAAGAACACTGTAAATAGATATTCATTCAGTAAACACACAAATTCCTTTACGAGGCAACGTGTCGCTCGATAATAAATCGATAAGAGAAGAGTGTTCCCTTTCGATTATTCCGTAAAGCAATCGTTCGATTCGAAAGTTGAATCGAAGGGATCGAGAACGATGCTCCTGTGTGAGGCGAATCCCACGAAGGGGGTAGCTTCGCTCATTCGTCCATTTAAAAAAAAAAAAAATAACAACAACAAAAATAAAAATCTCAACATTATATGTCAGTCACTAGTTAAAAGTGTGGTATTTTTCTTATGCTTAACCAGAAGGCCACCGTTGAGGCCTAGGATGAGAATATGGTAATTGGGCATTGGTCTAACTAAGCATGCGCGAACCGATATGGTATATATATAACTAAATATATATGTATATAAATATTTGTATATTATATTATCCACGGCGGTTGATCGCAGAGAACCAAACAATGTTCTAATCTCTTTCTCTCTCTCTATTTTTCTATTTTTCTATTTTTCTATTTTTATCGTCTTTCATTCCTTTTGTATTTAAATTTTTTCCTATTATTCTCTGTATTCCTTCGTTTCTCTTCTAATTTTTATTCTCTTCTTTAAATATTTGAACAGGGGTGAGTATGATAACTGCGTTATAGAGTATAACTCTGCATCAGTTAAAGTAGATGCAAATTGTAGAGAAAAATTTTCCTGAGAATAATCTGTACATTTTTTTCATAAATGTTGCATCTTTTTCTTTTAAACGCAACTCTATCTCTTTTTTAGATTTTAATAAATTTGTCAAAAGTCAATAAGACGAAAAGGAAAAAAGAAATAAATAAATTCAATCATAGAGTGATATAGAGAAAAATATGTCAAACAGTGAAAAATTTTTGCCCACAATTCCTTTTTAACTGTATACTTTCTCGGACAGATCTATAACTATACCCGGTCACCAGACTCACTCTTTATTTTTCTCTTTCTCTTTCTCTTTCCAATCTCTATTTATCTTCTTCTCTATTTTTCTTTCATCTTTCTCTCTGTGTCAGCATCAGGAGCGCCGTGAGCATGGTAAACGTACGACCTTAAGCATGAGAAAACCCTAGGGAAAACCCATGAAAACTGTCGCCCACGCTTCACACGTTCCATTATCTTTGCGTCTCATGCGGCTCGAAGAGAACCTCGAAACCATCGATCGACGAGAACGAGGATCTCGAGATGTATTTTATTGCGTTGCGTCCAGGACGAATCGGGCTTGGTTATTTTTCTTTTTTTTT